GGAATACAAAGTTATGATAAAAGAACTGAAAAAAGGTGCAGCTGCGTGTTTAAAACAAGAAATTTCGTTACATAATCCGATATATTGAGACCTATTTTTGGCATATAAAGTGGTCGAATTGGAGAATGATGTCTGAACCAAAGTTGTAACCAAATGAGTTAGATTTCCAATGCATTTTGAATTACCTCAATCGGATATCAAAATATAAAGTTATGATAAAAATACCGAAAGAAGGTGCAGCTTGCTGTTTAAAATAAGAAATTCTGTTACATAGTCCGTTATATTGAGACATATTTTTGGCATAGAAAGTGATCGAATTGAAGAATGATGTCTGAATCAAAGTTGTAACCAGATGAGTTAACTTTCCAATTCATTTTGAATTGCCTCAATCGAATATTAGAATACAAAGTTATAATAAAAACACTGAAAGAAGGTGCAGCTGTCTGTTTAAAACAAGAAATTTCGTTACATAGTCCGTTATATTGAGACCTGTTTTTGGTATAGAAAGTGATCGAATTGGAGAATGATGTCTGAATCAAAGTTGTAGCCAGATGGGTTAGCTTTCCAATTCATTTTGAATTACCTCAATCGAACATTGGAATACAAAGTTATGATAAAAACNGAGTTAACTTTCCAATTCATTTTGAATTGCCTCAATCGAATATCAGAATACAAAGTTATAATAAAAACACTGAAAGAAGGTGCAGCTGTCTGTTTAAAACAAGAAATTTCGTTACATAGTCCGTTATATTGAGACCTGTTTTTTGTATAGAAAGTGATCGAATTGGAGAATGATGTTTGAATCAAAGTTGTAGCCAGATGGGTTAGCTTTCCAACGCATTTATAATCGCCTCAATCGAATATCAGAATACAAAGTTATGATAAAAACACTGAAAGAAGGTGCAACTGCCTGTTTAAAACAAGAAATTCCGTTAAATAATCCGTTAAAACAATAAATTCCGTTAGTTTTTCCGTTAAACCAACAAATTCCGTTAAATGGACACTTTTTATATATAGAAAGATTAAAAAAGTTGATTAAAATTAAAATTTAAATCAATAATTAATTTTAACAACATATTTTATAAGATCCACAATTTTTCAACCAAACATAACATCAACTGTCTAGATTTTGTTACATCAACATTGTCAGCAAATCTTGTCAACCATCATTGTACAATTTAATTCCGAACTCATTGCTTTATTCCGACTCCAAAAAGACCAAAATATATTAAACGCAATCCTCTTCATTCCTACCTTCAATAACAAGAATGCCCGTTAAAGTCAAGAATAGAGGGAGCACATCAAGTAGTTTAATTGAAAAAAATTTCAAGTGTGTCGTCATTATGCTTTTTATTGTGTCAAACTAGCCAATTCAGTCGAAGTTGAGTGACCAAAAAGCAATTATTGTAACACGTTGTGGGGAAAAAGACAGCAGCATACACTAACCATATAGAAGCAGATCAGAAGCAGCAAAATTGCACGCCATTACCACACCAACCTCTGCCTAGATGAATTAGAGTGTCATACCTGTTAAAATCTCGTACTACTGTATCTCGGAATCAATTGCATCTCGTCCGGCATATCTACTTAAAAGGGGAGGTGACTACTATAAGTTTTTACATAGAAATGTATCGTCTACATCTCAAAAACAAGCTTCTAATCAAACAAACAAATTCAAGATATGCAAGACTTTTTCCGATGGCGTCATCTCTAACCACCAGTATCTGACAGAAGAAATTAAAAGCTAGCCACCGTAATTGAATCATTTCAGAGGATAAACAAAGTTCTCAAAGTTTTCAGAGACGCTCAAGAAGTCATGCTTCTCCTCCATCGATAGCGGAATTATCTGTCACAGGACATTTCCAAGATGGTGCGGTCTGAAAGAACACATGCGGGGATCAAGAAGATATCTTTACAATGCTTTATAATCTTGTGAACTTATAACTGTCGCTGAAAGAAAATCAGTTCTATATATTACTTGATCATGGGTTGAATCGTCTGCTAAATCTGTCTTCAACATTTTGTCTGGAGATACATTGCTTGAATTATTTTCACCGTCTTCATTCACAAAATTCTGACCTGAACACTCTGCAAAATCCTAGAAAATTTCAATAATTTATAATAAAACATATAAAAATGAATAACCGCACAGATTGAAACCTTCAGAGAAACTAAAAATCATTAAAATTGTCTATACAAGTATGGCATCCAAAAGGAGAAACTTAATCCTACAGAGGAAGCATCATTAAGGAAGGGAGATTTCCTTACTCTTTATCTTTTTTCCACACCCCCATTATCTTGATTTCAACAATGTTACTTTTGGTGATTCGGTATTCAAATATGAAATGGATATTCCATACACCGAGTTGACATTCCCTCATTTTCATGAGTACTTTAATTTCAGTGTATCTTGAAATTTAGGCAAAAGTCTATTGATCAACCCTAAATACTTGCCAACACTAGTACAACACTATTTCACCATGAAAATTAATGGGTGTATGCTAACAGCAATTTATGAAAACATATCCTAGCTGTAAGTGTTATGTTCTAGGTTCAATCAACTTTGGATATAAACACTTTTAATACATATAATCGATGTATATTTATGGTAAGATCTATTATTTAATTGAATTAATATTCTAATAAATTAAATAATAGAATCCGTATATTCAAGTCTTTGTGATTTGTTAACCACATGAAGTTGTGATTATGAGATACAAATTACATATGATCAAATATTAAATCGTCTGTGGTCGTATGTAATAACAAGATATGAATATCGTTATTACGGATAGACCATCACGTATGACATTTCTTACTTGTGAAGTAATTAGCAGATCTCACAAACTAATTTGATATTTAATTAGAATTTAATTTTAACTAAATTGTCTCACCTTAAAACTAGAATTTGACTCTTATTGTTGTATTTAATTTAAATTTGATTTTAATTAAATTCAATCGCATTAAGTTCTGAAATTAGAGTTAGACTCTAATTCTGTATTTAATTAAAATTTAATTTTAATTAAATAAATTCGCTAATTAAATTAATTATTTAATTATTTCGATCCATTTGTCTAAAATAGTTTAGACGACTTTAATTGCTAAAAACTTGAAACAAGTTTGCATATACTATTAGATATTATATAGGAATGCATTTATATGATGAATGTTTTATTAGTGGATGATT